TTTATTAGTATAATTATAATTATTAATCACTTAATTAAGAAGGCATGCATGGAAGGAAAAACTACATGAGCAAGAACTTTTAAAATGTCTATTTAAAATCTTTTTGTAAAAAAATCTAAGCTGTTTTGAGTTACTCAATCTGAAAACAATTAATGCAGACTGAATTTGATTGTTTTATTATATTATTGATTGTTGATTCAAATCGAAATTGAACGACATGAGGGTGAGCAATAATGACGTAATTTTCATTTTTGGGTGAACTAAACCTTTTAATGACATGATTTTCCAGTATTTTCTGCACATCACACACCCATGCATTGTGGCTAAACAGCTGCATAGTGTGGGCTATTAGTGCAGTGATTCATGCACATGCTGGTCTCGATTTCAGTGAGCTCCTTGAGTATGTGTAATACTCTAACCCTGCATCTCTAATGTGTTTGGGGGGGGGTAAGAGTAACCTTAAACACAATGATGACTTTATGGCTGATGGACTTAATAAGCTGAGGAGCAGAGCTGTTTTAAACTGCTGTGGTTCCTCTGTTTCTAATGTGGCAGTATTTCTTTGCAGGGCTGAGGAAAAGCTGTTATTTCTCTCGGAGGCGCAGAGCCAATACCTGAGACCTCTGCCAAAAAAAAGCCAATCCTTTTACACTGTAGAAATCTTTTAGTGTACGCAATGCACGGATGCAAACAAAAATCCATAGGAAATGTGTCTTTCTCAATCAGAAATTCAGGCAAACACACGCCCTCACTCACACACAGTTTGTTGATAATTTTAAGTAGAGGAGATTAGGTTAATGAGGGGTCAGGGGGTGACCATAAGAAACAACGACTTGGTTTCCTCTGGATGTCACTGATAGCTCTTACTGCTGCTGAACTTTGACACCCCTTACAGTGAGTGATCAACAGACTCTGCCATTTAGATGGACTAGATTACAATATCAATGTAACGGACACGCGGGCTCCTTTTTTACAAGGGTCATTTAAATATATCTTTCAATGAAAACCAAAATCGCAGCTAAAGAGGGCCCATTTGTAACAATGACCTTAGACACTGATACATTAGGTGCCCATTGAAACTGCTGTCAATTTGAATCAAAACAGTTTGTCACCTTTTGACATAAATACACTACCAATCAAAAGTTTGGGGTCGGTAATAATTTATAAATATATATGATGATGATGATGATGATGATGATGTTTACTTCAAACCCGCATTCTAGTTCTCACAAATCAACATTACAGGCTACATAAACAATTTATACAAGTGGATGGTTTGAAAAGGAGGTGGATGAAGCAACGCTTATATAATTCCAAACCACCTCACATTCAACACAAAATACAATACAAAAACAATACAAACAAAGTAATTCCAGAGCAACAGTATTTCTGCAGTACATACAGAAAAAAACAATTATTAGTACAAGTATATAACTGATATAAAACAAGACAAAAACAACACACACACACACCCTTACAAAAGACACTGGCCCAAACACTCTCTGCCTCTACACCCTCTCACCACTAGCTTCATGCTGAGGGCATCATTCTCTGTCCTCTACATATTTCCTTATAAATTTTTTTTTAATTTAAAATGCATTATAGTAGAACAGGTTTTTAATTCATCCACCAAATCATTCCAAAGCCTAACTCCTCGCACTGAAATACACATCGATTTTAGAGTGGTTCTAAATTTGGGCAATTATCTATTTTTAATTCCTCTTAATTTGTAACTATGATGAGCATATCAATCACTAAATACATTTTGAACATTGGGAGGCAAAGAATTTTGAGATGCCCTAAACATAATTTGACCAGTATATATCAATTTGATCATATATATATATATATATAAATATAATGAAATGAAAATTATTCCTGTGATTTCACAGCTTAATTTTCAGCATCATTACTCCAGTCTTCAGTGTCACATGATCCTTCAGAAATTATTCCAATATGAGGTTAATGATCTCTCTTTTTCGCCCTCTCTTTTTTAATTGCACAAATGAAGTCATAGATTCTTTTATGTCTCTTTTCCCACACCTCTGTCTCGCTGTCCACATTTTTATTGATTAGAGCTGATCAAATATATTAAGACACAGGTAAAACTTTTCCAGACCACTTCATGAGATAACCGATTAACATTACTTTAGAATATCTAGCCCGTTCTCATCCTTTAACGTCATATAGAACGCTATACCGTACAGCTCCAGTAATAGGACATAAATGTCAAACCACTCAAAAATAAACCTCAATATGCCAAACAACATGCTACAGCAGCAAAATCAATTAGTTCATACATTAACATAATCAACTGCATACACGTTATATGACTTTTCACATCTTGGTATACTCTGACCCACCGTTCTAAAGGTGACTCTTCAAATAAAGGTCGACTGTGAGCGTGAATGCGGCCACGCTGTGATCGTGTCATGTCCGTACAAGTTTGCAAAGTCTTCTGGCTCTAGTGTGACTCTTGAAAAGAGTAGATCAATTTCTAATAAACTTCTTCAATAGGCCAATTTTGCCTTTCACTGGCTGCTTTGAAAGGCTCCAGTTAGCATTTAGAGAAAGAGATGGAGAGTGAAGGATGATTACAGAGGAGTACAGTATGCCACTGAAGGTCATCACTCAAGGATAATGAGTGCTTTATTGAAACTACTCTTGTTTCCACCGTCTCTTTATTCCAAACCAGTCTACCTGAGTGAGAGTTCACTAAATCATATTGATCTCAAAACAACACAACTGATTGATGGTTGCATTTCAGGGTGTGAAAAAGTCCCATGTCCTTTCAAAGCAAAGAAATAATAATCTGGGTGTAGAAGATTTAGAAATTTAGACTGATGTAAGGGTAAGGCTGTTAAGGTGCATTTGATCACATTAAAATCCCTCTCATTTTATTATTAGGAGAGCATTTGTACATTCATTCATTTTTGAGGGCAATTGACTTCATGTTACCAGCAACAGCAGTACTAACAACAAAGATATTTAAATATATTGGAGAATTGTTTAGTTATTTTACAGATTTTTTGTAGCTATATTCTTGAGCTTCTTTTACAAAGTGTCAAGCACTTACAATTATTTTTTTTTTAATGTAATTGATTTCTATGATGGCAAAGCTGAATTTTCAGCATAATTGCTGCAGTCTTTAAAGGGATACTCCACTTTTTTGGAGTTTAGAAGAACATCAGTAACCAGACAGTTATATATATAACTGTCTGGTTACTGATGTTCTTCTAAATATCAGAAAATTGTCTCAGTGGAATCGAAAACGGTAAAACTCAACCGTTTAACTCTGGGGGAGTTGTAAAATGAGCCTATTTCCAAAAAAATTGGAGTATCCCTTTAAAAAATCACTCTAATATGCTGTTTTGCAGCTCAAGAAACATTTATTAATATTATTAATGTAAAACAGTTTTGCAGCTTAATATATTGAAAAGGATGATAAAAATGCATGATTCTTTTAATGAAATAAACATTTTTTTTGCAATAATTATAATTGTATTTACTGTCACTTTTGATACATTTTATAAAAAAAATCTAATAAATTAATGAAAAAATTGCTGTTTTGTTTTTGTTTGTTTTTTAAATATAACTGTCTGAAAATATGTATATGACAGTCTTCAATGCTTGACACTTTGGTCAACTAATGCAGAGAAACATCTTATTTCCTCCTTGCATATTTCCTGATTTATTTAATGTAATCTGAGGTGAACGGCCATAATGGGATTAGAGGCGGTGCTGCTGAACCCAGCGCGGCCCTGCTACCAGCTCACTCAAGAGAAACACACAGTTATCACACAACAGCAGATTGTTTTGAACTACTTATGAAAAAACGGAGCATCTGAAGACAGAGGCACTCTTGCCAGCGTGAGCTGGTGTTAAGTGCATGGTTGTTCCCGTTGTTTTATTTAGCATCTGCAGAATTCCCAGCATAGTTAAGGTGCTTTGGAAAAGGATTAACTGTTGCTGGCACTAGTGAGCAAGCCTCGCAGATTTTCCCCTAGCAAGAAAGTACAAAGAAGAGGAGGAACGGGGAGATGGAAAAGAGGGAGAAAAGGAAGAGAAACCACAATAACAAGTTGTATAAACATAACCTGAGAGTGAGACATGGGTAAAAGTATATCTAAACAACAATTATCCCTAAGGGAGGAAAGGAGGAGGCTTTCACTTGCCTACTTACAGTGTCCTATTACATCAGATGCTTCATTTCCGTCGCTCTGTTCTACCGTATTCCCTCCTTCTCTATATCAGTGCCTTGTTTTTCTCTCATCACTTAAGAGTCCTTTTTTTGTCCTGTAATGTCCAGCTGTTCCTTAATGGGTCTATTTAAAGAAGGGGCAGTATAAAAAGGCCCAAATCAAAAGATGGTGCTGTTGCTTCTAAAGATCAAATTCGAGTTGCCTCAATTGCATCCATATAAATCACTCAGTATTTCTGACTTTAGATAATAAGAGTGACTTTATTAAGTATTTTCTTTTCACATCTACAAATATGAGAAGTGAGCTTGCTAATAGCTTCAAAGGTATTTTCCTTCCCCCAGGAATGGCTGCAGATGATTAGGTAATTCAATTATTTAAAGTCGCTCTGAATTCAATATGAGCGTGAAGCATTCCTGACATTACATTGTGTTCACATCCTGATTTTGATGAACACTAGCCCATGGTGTTTATAAAAAACAAAGCTTACTCGCATTGACATTGTGGATATTTGCCAGAACACTGTGATATCTTGAGTTGCCTCCATCCTTCATTGTCATTGAAAAGATGTTTTAAATTGTGTAAGGTGAAAATATAATTAAACTAAGCTGAATCAGAAACGATCAAATGAAGATGCAATAAAGAAGACACTGACCTTGATACATTCAAAATAAATAGTGACTTTTTTTTATCATTCAACTTTCCAGAGCAGGTCTGTTCTGTAGTGACAAATGATTTAGTCTGGGAAATTTGTAGTTTTTGTATTGACAAAAAAATGTCTTCTGCTGTTCCTCTGGTTAGGTTCCTTGTTTCTGGAGCAGAGAAACCAGATCCGGATCCTGTTCGTAGAACAGCAAACAAAAGCACTTGACTGACGGCCAGATTTCTTCTCGTGGCTGCACTCGGGTTTCCACGCTCCCAGTATGACGCTTGAGAGACGGCAGGTAACGCAATCTCAGGTGTGCTCGGGGGCGTGGCCGACCCTTTTCTCCTTCTTCACCTTGATCACCCGCAGCGCAGCGACAAACACGGCTCCGTTTCAACCACTTATCCTGCTCGGCTGAAATAATCATCTGATCAGCTCTCGCTCTCACACTCCCTTCTCTGTTTCTCTCACTTGTTTCCACTCCTCATTGCATGGAAGTACAGTCTGTTTTTTCACCCTCTGTCTGCAGTTATTCTGAATATAATGTTCGAGGCTCTGGTTCCTTCTTTTACCTTTTTAGCTCTATATGGAAATTGTGTGATAGTGCAAGGACACTCATGGATGGCATATTCTCTCTTATTAGTATGCGGCGCTTTTGAAAGGTGACAGTAATCCAAGTATTATGGATATGCAGCATGACTTCCTGGGACTTGTTGAAATAATCATTTTGTCTGTTCAAGTGTTTTTACTAACGGCACAGTACACATTCCTAAGCCCTGACACAAGTGTTGACAAACAAGCACATATGAACGAAGTGAAAATTAGGGCATAAGGAGCGCTATTACGCATAATGTATAAATGTCATTTTTGTGATTAAATATGAAAGCTTCAAATCTATCCTTTCTGCTTGCTAGGTATACTGTATATTTTTGAGAGGGCCAACTCCCTGGCGTGCAGTATTTTAGAGTGCCCATTTAGCCAGGCCCCCTGCTCTCCTGACAGCTGATGGAAAAGGCAGTGTAACAATGAGCCCCCACCGTGCCTCTCTGCCTGCCCCCAACCACCAGGGGAAGAGGAAGCAGCGGCAGCCGTGTGACACATTATTCTGTCCCCCCGGAACCTGCAGCCAGGCCAAGCCCCCCCTCCGGGTTCCCTTGGACCTCTAAGTGCCGAGCCAGGGACTGAGTGACATTTCCAGAGTCCTGACCTTTGTTTTTCCATTGACTGGGAAGACGTTTGAAGGAGGTACAGTGCACGCTGGTCGACTCTGCAAACTGCACACACTGGCAATTACACACACCATTTTAGTTTGTCTCGCACAAAAGGAAAACCGAGCGCTATGCTGTCACGGAGCTTATTTTTTCATAAACTGCGAGAGAAACGTGGTTTACGTTTTACTATGCCGAATCTGTCCGAAAAGCCACGACAAACTTAACTAGACTAATGAAATGAAACCTTACGGCACTTTGACTAAACTTTAAGAGCAAAAATGACCACTGGAGACCAAATCATGGCACATTTTATGTTTCTAAAAAGTCCCCTCAAAATGAAGTCTGATTATTGAATCATTTTGCATTACTTTGAAAAGTCTACTGCAAAATTAATTCAGGAGCCATGTTGGTTTGAAGTATGGGTTCTTGTAGGATTACATTTAAAAGCAAAACAGGAGAAAGGAAAGCCTCATGTGGAGAAAATGGCTTAAAATGGAATGTACTGCAGTGTTGATAGGTTGAGTCTTGGGCTGTATTAATGATATAAGCTGCTGGCCAGTGCTTTGGTCAAATCAGACACCTGCTATGGCTGCCACACTCCGAGAACGATGACATCACAGGGAGCAGGGCAAGTCAGATCCGCTGTTAATCGCTCACCTTAATTGAGTGCTCTGCTGAGATCCAAATTGCTCAGTACAATCAAGACTCATTTTTGAGTCCCACCATGTGCTCTTAGGCCATGATGAGATATTGCCTTCATTTCCTGTTGTTTCTGAATATTAGCCTGCCTTTCAATACGCCCCCTACATATTCACGCTTTTTACTCGTAGCCTCCAGGTTGCTGTTTTTACTGGCTATTTTTCACTAATTTCTCTGAATTCCATGTGGGAGAGGAAGCTATTGTTTTCGAACATCCTGATCCTAGGAGGACTGAACTCACTTGGTTTAGTCTTCAGTAAGTCGCTTTGGATGAAAGTGTCTGCTAAATGACTGAATGTAAATGTAAATGTACTCATCATTTGTTCACTAATTCCAAATCGGCAGTAAGTATGGACCAGTAATGAAACAAAGTGATTCTTTCTTTTTCTTCCTGAACACAGACAGATCTTGTATCACCTTGAATGGGTTTATTTTTCTGTTTGAACTGTACATTATCCAGCTTACTATGCTACTACTCATAAAATAAATTAATATATGTCATTTTGATTTGAGTTGAAATTATTTGAGAATTTGCCCTCTGTATACCTTAGCCACCGCTAAGAAATAAAATAGTCCAAAACAGAGCAATTCCAAGAGGGTCCTCACACCATCGGTGCTCGGGCCCTAATTAGAATGTACAAAACAGTCGGCATAGCAACAAGACAAACACTGCAACAATATTACAATGATATTAATTGAGTGCATTAGCACCCGCCCCCTTTTTCAGTGGAGCCTTTTTTCATTAATTTTCTCATAGGGATTTTAAAAAAGTCCTTGATAAATATCTATAAGCCATGAACCAAGACAATCAGCTAATAAACTTTGATTTAAACAAAAAAGTATTTTGAAAATCAGACAAAAATACAAACAAGACTGTGCACTTATCACCTTTAGTTTAACAATCCCATAAAGCACTGTGAACAAAAAACAATCGAATAGAGTGGAGCAGTTTGTTAAACTTAAAGGGTTAGTTTACCCAAAATTGAAAATTTTGTCAGCAATTACTCACCCTCATGGTGTTCCAGCCCCGTAAGACCTTCGTTCATCTTCGGAACACAAATTAAGATATTTTTTCAAATTTTTTCAAATTAAGATAAAATATCTTAATTTGTGTTCCGAAGATGAACACAAATTAAGATAAATTGATCCACAAATTGATCCAGCTCTAGAGTGATCCAACTCTAGAGCTGGATCACTCCTCCATAGGCTTCTAAGGGATTGAACTTGCCAGCCCAGAAAAGTTATTAAAGACATTAAAATAGTCTGAGTGACTACAGTGGCTATCCTGCCACTTGAGAGAAAAGTGACAGGATATATTTACATATTCCTCTAAATGCTGCTCTCAGCTGCGTAGATGTCGTGGAGTTATTCGCTAACAGTATGTCACTGAAAAAAGGTATTTCAAACTTCTTTTTACCCCTAAGCGAAGAATGAAAAAGAACTTTGGCATGAATATGGGCCTCTAAGGCATCATTACACAGCTAAGTTAAGGCTACTCTGTGCCTGCTCAAAATTCTGTTTAAACTCAAATGACGCAAAAACTCTATACTAAAAGACTCAGCCTTTAACAACAGTGTTGGGTAAGTAAAATAAAGGTATCAATTACTAGCAACTAATTACCGTCATAATTCCGTTTATCACTACCTACACTACATGTCCCATCATCCTCTCTGGCTCACACCTGCACTCACTACATCATTATCCATGCCAACAGCATGATTAGATTACTGTGTACTAATTACTCCCTCTTAAAAAGTATTGAATTACTTTCTAAATACAATATACTAACCTCGATGAGTTGAATACAATGATAGATGTTAAACTGCCCTTTTAATTCATCCAAATAATTAACATAAAATTGTATAAATTATTCTTGTACTTTAATAGATGTACTTCTTGTATTTTAATAGAGAAGGTTACATTGAAAGCATAATTTAACATCTAATGTTAATGTTTGATGTTTAATCCATCATTGTTTATAGAACTGTTCTTTAGTCTTTACAGTATTTGATGCAATTACATCAGAAGAAACTGTATTTAAATTTTAGAAAAATGAAGAGTAATCCCTTACAATACTTTTCAGGGGGAAACTAATTAAATCACAGTAATGAATTACTTGGTAGTGCATTACACTTAACACTGTTTAGCAGTGTTTAACAGTTAAAATTGCTATGCATTTATGCCAGCTCTGAGCAGCATTAACTGTCTGTATAGAGAAACCTAATTGCCACTTAAGAAGCGCTTGTGCCATCTTTGCTGTGTAAATTTGATGTTAATATGGTAAAATATATTGGCAAAGGAAAAGCAGCAGCATGTCACCTGAAGATTGTCCGAACAGTTATGGCGTGTAGACGTATGTGCAAAAAAAAAAAAAAAATAAATAAATAATAAAAAAAAAACACTCTTGCGGTGTAATCTGACACACACCAGCCATGAAGTTATCATGCTGGGTGAAGTTTATTTCTCGTTTCTGGGTGCTGTGCTTCTGGCATCTTAGAAAACAAACACCACAGGTGCTCACATTGGATGTGGAGGCATATACAATATAGATGTAAAGTTTTAAAACATTAGTTCCACCAAATCAAAAAGCATTTTAAGGATAATTTTAAGACAAATATTTCTGTGCCCACTAGACCAGTCATTGTCAATTTCAAATTTTAAATTTCTGTTTGGTGTCACAATAAATTAGCAGGTGAGATGTCATCAATACCATCGACTCACCAGATACAAATGTATGTCCGAAATACAGAACGACTGAGGGATGGAGAGTAGAGGAAGACGAGTCTTGTTTTGAAAGAAGACTCGTGTGCGTTTCACGATGCCTGGCTATCACAGTGTCACCTAGTTAATCTTGTGTTCAACACAGCATGTCACAGATCACATGAAGCTTCAGACACACACACACACACACACACAGTGCATTGAATGTGACCACTCCCAACACAGTGAAACTGTTCAGACAATCCACACCACTGAAGAGAGAATGTCTGACCACACACAGTCTCATCGTTTTATATGACTGTTCAGCCAAGAGTTATTCAAGAGCCTCACCTGAGACAACCTCAAGTTGAATGAAACAGACTGCATCTTGCCTCATCATGATGTTCCACATTTTATTAAATGAAAGACAGTTATATAATGTACAAACTCAAACTACTCCCATCCGAATGCTTCAGGTATCTTGAGAGGAATGATTCTAGGTTAAACAGTAGACAGCATTTGACCACAAACAAAAAAATAATTCTTCTTATCTCTTGTTCTCTCTCCAATTTTTGGAGATTTAAAGTTAGAAAAGTGAAACTTGCATGAATTCTTCTCTTAAAACATGTGGTCATTTGAGCTTTTCAGTGGTTTTAGTGTACACGAAACAGGTTAGTAAGCGATTTTTATACTAAAATCATGTTTTGTTTATGTCTTGTGCCTAAAGCCTACTGTTGAAACAGTAATTTAACATTGACGGCTTGGCCACATTCCCTTCCATTGTAAGTGCCTCACTTTAACCCTGAATATTGCTTTCTTTCTTTGAAGAAAAGGAACAAGTCAATTTTTTAGGAGGTATTTATTCTACAATTGCTGTCGATCGAGCTTAAATTGTGCTGAACCTGCAATATTCCTACACTTTAAAATTTTGATTTCAGTCAGACTTTACCAATAATTATTCTTTTGGTAAAGGTGCAGTTTCATTAGCGAAATATCAACAAACTTTTGTGGGCAACAAAGGCCATCGTCCATTATCAATAGTGTATCAATGTACGAAGCACAGCTCACAGAGAAGTCACTGTTAAAACCTGACAATATAAAAACCCGCTTTAGTTTGATTATAACCAAACATGTAAATGTACTCACTGAACTGTCTGAGGCCACACGGGCATTAATAGCCTATTAGGACGGGTCGCTCAGGGTGAACAGTCATGTAGGTACAACGTTGATCACAGCCATTGTGTGTTGTCATGGTGGGACGGCAGGAGTGGAAACCTAGTACCGGAGACCTCACCTGATCTGAGCTGGTCTGATCCGTTCCCTGCTTGCTGAGGCCGTGACTGTGCTATTGAGAGAGTGCTGAACGCTGACCTTAATTGCTTGACGGACAGCTCAGATAAACTCATATCAAACATGCCCGCTGAAACCGTAGACGCTGTGTAATTAGTGAACTCCAGGGAAACAGATAAGGCTACAAATCAAAAAGGGAAGGGGCCTGTGCGTGCTAGTTATTCATTTATAAGGGCGCTGAAAAGAATTACACGTACTTCAGCACGCTCGACTTGATATTCAAACGTGCAACTTCGGAGACTAATCAAAGTGTGTTTGTTTTTCTTTATCCTATACCCACACATCTAGAGGTACACAAGTATGTCACATGCTTTTCCTGCCCAGTTATTCTGGTGGTGCAACTACCCGGGGAGCGGGCCAACCCTGTCATTTAGCAGTAAGTTTATCCTGTGGTGGGATAGAGAAACTGTGGGGATAAAGGCAGCAGACCTATCCCATGACTAGGCTGGCGGAGGGGGGTGGAAAGCCTACCCCACAGCTGGGACAGGCCAGGTAAGGATCACTTACAGGCTGCAGGGTTGGGAGCATCATTGTGGCACCGAACTGCCCACAGTATTTACAGCCCCCCATACACACTTCAACAGTCTCAGGTTCAGCCTGCTGTGATGGAGCAGATAATATGCCTCCAGAGGAACCATCTGGAAAACTGAGCCACCACTCTGCTGTTGCCGCCCCAACGTAAATTCTCATGCACCTGTCTGTGCCAGACGCCGTTCCTGCTTTCCTTCAATATTTTTATTTATTCAGTTATTGTCAATAATGGGGCATGTTGTCACCTTTTATGGGCTAAGTTGTGACGATGTAACCTTCCATTAAAAAAAGCCTATTGGAGGTTTCTTTTCAGTAAAGACTCAAGTTTTTGACTCAAAACCTTTTAGTAATTCAGATATAGCCATTTTGGGAACTAGCCCCACTAGTCTCTCCGAAATAGTGATACATTTGTACTGACAAAACAGTATATCTATAATATATAGCCTACTGTGCAAAATAATCTCTCTCTTTTTGTCATTTTCCACAGGTGAATGCTCACACACTTAAAAAAAAACACACCGTTGATACCCACACATTAAAAAAAAAGTGTGTGTTATGGGTATTTGCTGATCATACCTCAGCAGACCATCTTCTTGGTCCGTGTAGAAATGTCAACCTCTCATCATCACGCTATATGGACACAGCAGGTGTCAGCGATGATAGTTTCACCATGACAGCTCTGTCGAAAGGGTCCAGAGCTTAGACAACGTAATTGAAGGTATTGAGACACACACAGAGTCAGCCTATACCTTTCAGGCTCATGTCCCAATACAGAAATTACCTAATTATCTGATTTCTGCATTGATGTGTGATTGTAATAATGAGACACGTAGCAGATCAAGGTCCATGGTTGTCTTTTAACGTCAGTTATGATGAAATACTCAACCGAGGAAGCATTGTGAAGGATGTAATTGTATAAACAACAA